TGAAACTAATATAATGTTGCATGTCAATAAAACTAAAAATTAAAATTAAAAAAAGAATCAAACTTTCTCCACCTCTCCGTTCTGATTTCCTGTGGGTTGGCCATCAGGCAGTCTTTTGACCGTGAATAGCAAAGGCAGCCACCAGTAACTCCAGGCTTTCATCTTATCACCCCAGAAACCCAATGGAAACTCTTCATGTTAGGCTAAAATATATAAAGTTGCATTTAAATAGGTCAAAATTGTTGAATAATGGCAGTTTCATGTGTTTCAACCTAAGATTTCCAGAAAAAAGTCGCAAGGTCTAAAGTGTATTGGTTCAGCTTAGATCATGCCCATTCTTAAACCAATCATTGTGGCCACCAGAATGTAAACCTATCATTGCCCAGGTCTGAGTCATATGCCCACCCATGAGCCATGTGACAAAAGGTGAGAGAAGACCAATTTCTCAAAGGAAATTTAAAGTGCTCTCATCAGAAACGGGAAAATAAAAACAAAGGAGGCAAAACTCCACATGCCCACTGTGCATATAATAGACCCCAAATGTGAACATTTACCAGGAAGGTAACGAAGCCTAAACTTCAGGGAAGCTCACTTGCATTGGCTCCTTCTAAGATCATATATCAAATTTTGTTTTTAATTTTTGGGGTTCTTTTTCTTAATGAAGGGCCCCCAAATTACATAAGCTTTAGAACCAACAAAACCTGGAATTGTACCTAAAAACGTGCAACAATATTTGTAAAATTAATAAATAAGTATTCCTAATATATTGCACTTCTGTTTTTAGTGGAAATAAACCATTTATTAGATAGTTTATTTACTAAATTCTTCACAATAACTTAATCTCTTTGGACACTAACAGAAAATAACTGTTCCCTTCAGATCCTCCCACGTCTCAGAACTCAGCATCTGAACGTGTTTTTCTTCGCCTCTATCACAGACCCACACTGGTTAAGGCCCTTTTCCATGTTTGCCCTTCCTTGAACTTGGGTCCCAGATGACTGCCTCCCAGTACTACCTTTCAGGAGAGGCCAGTCCGGTTTGAGGTGTGCACATCTCTGGGCACCACTGTGGTTTCTTACAGCACCAGTTTGAAGAAACTTCCCAAGTCGCTCACATGCACTGTAAACTGGTATTCATTTTCTTAAAATTCCAAATCAAAATGAACTCTCCAAAATTCCATAGAGAAAACGTGAACCATAAGGCGGATCTCACATCAGAGTGAATTTCGGATGTGGCTCAGGTCGAAACCATGTACCTATAGAGGACCCGTTGTTGAGGTTTTGCCAAAACTGGGTCTGTATAATCAGAAAACATGCCCTTGTTGGAGTTTCCTACTGCATTTACCCTTCTATTTGGCAGTCAGACAGCCCCAAGAATGTAAATGCATGCTGTTTCGAATGTGGGGGAGGTGAGGGAACTGAGCTTGCCTGCTGCTATTCTGATTACAGCATTTGTCCCCGAGAGAGACAGCTCTGGGGTGGATGCTATTTTTCTCCCCTCAGGAGAAAGGCTTGGGCTGCTTATCGGGTAAGGCCAAGGGGCACCTACAAATGACAGTTTCTGCTTAATCCCCTGCAGGTTTCCAAATCTGTAGCCCTTCAGATGTGGCACTGAGTTTGACCCACTTATCCCCTCCATCTACCTCCTACAAAAAACATGGTATAGAAACAGGGTGGTGCATTGTGTTGTGGGGATTTTTTTTTTCTTTCTTTCTTTTAATTTGTTGAAATTGTCTCTAGGCAGAAGGGGTGGGGGAGGTGGGTAGAAACCAGATGGTTGTAGCTGGAGTAGAAACCTACTACTGAGGAGCTTGGAGATGCTCAAATTTGGTGGCCGTCACTATTTCCCTAAAGGGAAAGGGGATGAAATAACTGAGTGGCCACAAACGATGGTCAGAAGCCTGACCTCCCAAGTTCTCTTTTCTCTACCCTATGTCCACACACATGAAAAATGCAGCCCCTTTTTCTTTAACTCTCCAAAGTACCACCAAGCTTGGGCTGAGCAGACTTTTAAGTTTGGGGGGAGGTGGTTAGTGGTAACAAAAGGGGTTTATGTCACAGGACCTAAACAATTTACAAAAGATTATTGTTCCACCTTTCTTAAAAATCTTAGCCATGCCCATAGCTTCCTCCTCAGCATCCTAACCATGCACTACATTCTACCAAATCACCTAAAGTGTTCTTCAACCTCTCCTCTTTCTTTTTTATTTTTTCCCCATTGATTTCTAGGGAGAGAGAGAGATAGAAACATTGATGAGAGAACATCAATTGGCCACCTCCTGCATGCCCCCCACTGGGGATCTGGCCTACAACCTGAGCATGTGCCCCAACTGGGAACCAGACCGGTGACCCCTTGGTGTATGGGTCGACGCCCAACCACTGAGCCACACCGGCCAGGACCTCTCCTCTTTGTACATAGGACATAGAAAAAAATTGAGACCAAGGGAAAGAGAAACAGAGAGTTGACTAAAAGTTAACGTCTTTTATCTTCCTATATTTGGGGAGATTTGGCCAACAGAAGAGACCTTCATCCTGGTCTCTGGGACATCCAAACACCTGGAGGAGAGCAGCACACCAAAGTCTGGGATGGGGGCTCATACCCCTCCCCCACTCTCTGTTAAGGAGAAGTGACTCTCAATCTTTTGTGAAGCCATGTGCAAATACATCTGAGTACCAATTAGGTATCCCCCACTAGGGGTTTTCCTCCCCAAACTCATGGTATCTTTCAACACTCCTTCAACTCTCCAACCCCTACAGTTCAGTTCAATTCAATTCAATTCAGTTCCATTCCATTCCATTCAGACATTAACTCTGCAGAGTTAGTGTTTCCAGACTCCACAGATTTAAGGGCTCAGTCCCACAAGACTGCCCTCACTTCACAGACCAATCACAAGTATCAAGTCTCCAGTGCACCCACACTTCCATCCGACTGGGCTACAAATTCAGAGGTTCCCACATACCCAATACCCTCATATTTGATAATTTGTTAGAATGACTCACAGAACTTGGGAAAGTGCTTTCTTTACCTGTTACAAAGAATACAACGCAGGAATAGCCAAATGGAAGACATGCACAGGACAAGGTATGGGACAGGGGACACAGTTCCCAAGCCCTGTCCCAGTAAGCCACCCTCCCAGCAACTCCATGTTTTCAACCCAGAAGCTTCCCAAACCCCATTGATTGGGAGTTTTTGTAGAAATTTCATTATGGTTTTTTATGATTAAATCAGACTCTAGTCCCTCTCCCCTCTCCAGAAGTTGGGGGATTGGGCTGAAAGTTCTAGACCTGAAATCAAGGCTTGATCTTTCTGGTGACGAGGCTTAATTAACATTCTTATCACTCATGAAAGTCCTAGGGTTTTAGGAGCTCTGTGTCAGAAACTGGGGACAAAGACCAAGTACCTTTCTTTTTTTTTTTTTTTTTTTTTATCCTCACCTGAGGACATTTTTCTATTTTTTGTTCAGGTAGAGTGGGAGGGGGAGAGAGGAAGAGAGAGAGAAACATCGATGTGAAAGGGACACATCGAGTGGCTGCCACCCGCATGACCAACCAGGGCCGGGGACAAACTGCAACCGAGGTACATGCCCTTAGCAGGAACCGAACCCGGGTCTCTAGGACCGCAGGCCGACGCTATAACCGCTGAGCCAAACCGGCCAGGGCAGTACCTTTCTTATTATACCACACCACCCCATTATGTTTACCTGGTTTGTAAAAAAAATAAAAATAAAAAAATAAAATCTGACACCTCCTTATGGTGGTAGCCTTCTGACTGCATCTGGCTCTCCCTATCGATGTACTCTCCTATCCCCCTATGAGATTGGCCAGGATCCTCTGATTAGTTCTTCATTAGGCTTTTCAACACATAATTAGTTCCCCTGTGGCAGACCTCTTTATCTGTGTCCTCCAAATAAACCATTCCCGGCAATCAGCATTCTCAGAATATTGGAACTGAAGGCCCACTCACTTCTATTCTCCCTGAAGAAATTCAGGCTGTCAGTGCTAAGGACGGACTTACATGATCCAGGAACTCACTGCCACCCTCTTTCATGCAGGCATCCTTTCTACTTTTCTGGGCCAGCTCCATAGGCCTCTGGGTCACTGATGTCCCACAATGGAGAAGAGGGTCCTTCTGAATGGCCAGGGAGGCCTGTTGGCTCCTACTTGTTCAAGTCTCTACCGGGAAACTCGCAGAGCTGGGGGTCTTGAGACTCTGGAGTGCAAAACCTAAAACTTTACTAACTAAAGCAAGGACCACTTTACTGATGGCCTCAGGGCATTCTGTCCCACTGGCTTGCTTCCTCAACCCTCCTCAGAGCGCAAAGAACACAACAAAACTCAGGAAGACAGAGCTTCATCTGCGGTGATCAAGACATCTTCCTTTTGAAGTAAAAACCTCACTCTTCTAGGTTTGGGCGCTGGTAATCCGTGACTCCAAGGCAGCTTCAGAGAGTGAGGCCTCAAGCCCACACTAGTTGATCTGAAATCCCTGTTTAGGTCCCAGCATGTGACAACGTGCTCCACTCTGATGACACTTTTCGTTTCTAATAATAGAGCAGATGAAGTAATATTCCAATTGATGTTCCCGGGGATTTGATTGGATAAATGCATAAACTGTGGAGGGGGAAGAGGGTTGTATGGACGGATCACATTAGTATTCTGGTCCTATCAATGTGCGGGACCGCGAACAACGTCAGCGGCCCGATTCCCTGCGTCCGCCAGTCCCGCCACAGATTCATTTGGGATCCTCAAACAGATGAGCCTACAGAGACGAGGGATCAAGGCGGCCCATTAGAGCCAATTGCCTGCTTCGGGGACTGCCAGTCCTTCCAGGCCTGGCAACTGGAGAGGGAGGGGGAAGAAGAACCCAGCTCCTCTGCGGGAAGACACTGAAGCGAGAGTGACACCCCCTCCCGCCCCCCACCTTGCAGCACAAGCTTTGAAAGCTGCTCCCCCCTCTGAATGGAAACTCAGAACCGCCGGGAGGCGCGTTCCTTCTCGCCCAGCCTTGCAATCTATGCCGACGGGAAGGTGGTGCGAGCCTGCGCCAGCGCCCAGATCCCGGGACAGGGCCGGCAATGCTGCTGAGCAGAACTTGACCGAGCCTCTTCCTCGCTGCTAGTTGAAGCGATGCTGCAGGGCACAGCCAGCCCTTCCCCGGCTCTCCTTCAAGCTGAAGGTTACCCACCCGCGAAGCCAGCGCCAACCCTGTGAGTGCCTCGCCTCGGTCCTCGCTTGGCGGCGGCGCGCAGGCAACGACTGGGCCGCCCGCGCAGGGGCGCACTGCACCAGAGGCTTCGGCTTGGTGGATGTGTATGCATGAGTTCTGCACCGAATGGGCGCAAAAAGCGCCCCAGCCGGTCCACCCGCTCCTCGATCTTTCAGATCAGCAAGCCCCAGCTGCAGAGCGGGGAGTGGGAACGCAGGGGCAGTGGCTCCGACAGCGCCCACAAAACCCACCGAGCCCTGGACGACTGCAAGATGGTAGGTGAAAACTGCGCCTCTCTCTCTCTCTCTTTCTTATTTTTTGGAGAGGAGATGGGGGGGATCTTGTATGTTAAACATTTGTTTGAGTGCCAGCCACTCCTCCACCCTCAGCTCCTCCATGCCGATCACGTGCACATGCACTATTTTTAAATCTGCAGTCCCCTAGATTTGGGGTGACACCCTGATGGTAATGGCCCCTCAAAGAAGTGCCGCGGCAAAAGTCTTGAGATCGTGCCTCTACCTACTCTGAGAACGGTGGATACGGAAGACACGGTGAACTGGCTTGCTCACCAGGGAGGGAAAGGACAGGGAGGAGGGGGTGCTGCTTTGTGGGGAGACTAGCAAACAAACCCAACAGAGCACACCGGGAGAAGCGGAGGGAATCCACCTGAGAGGCTGTGGCCCGGCTTCCTATCAGGCTCTGGAACCTGAGCAGTTAGTTCAGTGGCCCCGCAGGAGGTGAATGGTTTGCCTATTACAACCTACCTCTGGCCTTTATCCCCATGCACTTCAAATTCATATCCTAGCTGTACCAGCCCAGAGCGGCTGTCTGTAGGAGAGTTCCCAGCATCGCTCTCCAGTGACCTGGGAGTGGCGATGAGAACGCTCCAAATATGCTTTCCTGCTCTTCAGAAACTGAGCGTGAAGGGGGGGGGGGGGGGGGGGGCGAGTAGGTCTGGGAATAGAATTTCCAGGACCAGACTTACCTATGAAAACTAAACACCTAGCACAAAGAGAATTTACCATCTCTGTGTCTTAATCTTCAATTTGTAGGTGTCTAAACTGGAGATTGGGTGGGGGCGGGGGGCGTCTCAAGTGTCAGTGCACGTTCCTGTTCATGTACTCCAAAATGGGAAATTTTCTGGTAAGTGTTTCTTGAAAGAAACGCACTTCTTTTCCAGCTTGTCCAAGAGTTCAACACGCAAGTGGCCCTGTACCGAGAGTTGGTTATTTCCATTGGGGACGTCTCGGTCAGCTGCCCCTCACTCCGGGCGGAAATGCACAAGACAAGAACCAAAGGCTGTGAAATGGCCCGTCAGGCACACCAAAAACTCGCTGCCATCTCAGGGTAGGAGACTCTTGGCATTATTTGGTAATTCATATACAGGATGCATGCATATTGGCATATTTATGGTGCCCAAGGCTTCAGAGATGAACTCTACTAATTTGGGTTTTTAACCAGCCACCCTGAGATCAGGATTTTCTAAACAAACTACAGGCCAAATCATAATCAGTGGTAGTGTAAACATCATGCCTCAAGATTATTTTGTCATCTGCTGCTAAACATCTGCACCAAAGGCCTGTGCAGCAAAGAGAAAAATCTTTGGTAGATCCCAGATTTACTGAACTATTTATACCATGATAAATTCCTATGATGCCCTTTAAAATAAAATCCCTAAAATGAAGTCTTGGATTTAATTTACTCTCTTCACTTTTGTAGTATACAAAAGGGTAGTTTTTGTTGTTTTACAAATTTTTTGTGTGCCTTTGGCCGGGGTGGGTGGGATATAATTGACCTGTAGCATTATATTAGTTTCAAGGCATATAACAATGATTTGATATCTGTATTTACTGTGAAATCATCACCACAATACGTCTAGTTGACTAACATCTGTCATCATACAAAGTTAATTTTTTTTCTTGTAATGAGAACTTTTAAGATTTACTCTTTTAACAACTTTCAAATATGCAATACAATGCTATTTATTATGGTTGTCATACTGTACATCACATCTGAAAGGGAAGTTTTAACATAAGAAAACTTTTTAAAGATTAAGACAATTCACAAATCTAAGCTGCTTATGCCCCCCCCCAATTATATTTATGTATTTTTATCATCTTTATGGAATCCCAAGCTTATTTTAGGTTATAATACAGTGAGTGAAATCTCTAGGGTCACTATCCACTTCTTCCAGATCTCTCAATTAGAAGAGAAGAGTCAGTCATGGATTTTGTTAACACTTCCTATTTCCACATAAGGAAACACGGGAATTCTTATACAAATGCATTAAATGTTTGGTTCAGCCTGGATATAGCTTTTATCTGTTTATATGTGTGTATGGCTTTATCAGAATATACATGCAAGTTAGACTCACTTGATAATGGTGAGAATCATCACCTGTAGGAATTATATCTAATTTACCTACTTGAAAGACTCACTCTTTGCCATCTTTAATGCCAGTATTATGCATAGTGACTATCATTGGGATATAAAGAATAGAAGGCCATGTGTTGCCTCTCTTAATAACTAGTTAACATTGGAAAACAAGCATTTTCTATCCTAAAAATAGATACACTATACTAATCTTGAAGTGAGAAATAAAATGTTACAAACCTATTTTATTGAGTAGGAATATTGAAAAGCCTTCTCCTTTTCTGTTTTAACAGTTATACTGTACTTAGCAGGAAGTGAATCTTGAAGTGGAAGGAAATTACATGTTTCAGGAGTTGGGGGAAGCTGTGATATATACCAGACAAGATGGAGGAAAAACCATCAGAAACACAAAGGGGAATAGTGGCGGATTAAAAAATGATAGAGAAACAATGATTCTGAAAGAAAAACAAGTTTAGAACATATGATTTTATGCTCAGGGCTAAGGAGAAGCATCTTTGTAAACTTTTTGTCCAAGAATGTACAATGGAGTTACATCAGGATCCCTTTAAGTTGCAACTCAAATTGATGGCATGCTCTCATCAGAGAACGTGGGCTAGCAACATGAATAAGGCATTCAATTTTGTTTATTTTGCTATGCATGTGAAATTCAGGTTCTTCTAAAGGTTTAGGAAAGGAAGATCCTGAAACTAACAGTTAAAGTTGAATTTTGAGGGTTGGAGGTGGATTTTACTTACTCAGCGTGTGTAGCCCTTTGCTCCTTGCTTACAAGTTATCTAAGAGTAGATGTTATCAGGGGCAGTTTTATAAGAATTAGTGGGAAAATATATTGTTCTTAGAGCCTTGTAAAGGTAAGGCCAACTCTAGAAAATATTCTAGGGTAGAATTTGAAATGTTTTCCTCCTTAAAAGAATAATTAAATACAGTTTAACCTCCTTTCTAAAAAATGACAACAATATAATTGAAGGAAATCCCTTCAGCTCCTCACCATCTGGGCTCCATTAATGAAGGATGTAATTCCATTAGTGGAATTCCATTCCTGATGCTGCTAGTTACGTGGGCTCTCATTTCAAACACAATGTGAAGGCTGAAGGGGAGGGTATAGGATTCATTTAACAATTTGAAGTAGGTTGAGTAAGTAAAGAAAAGATTTGGGGTAAGGTCTAGAGAGAAAGACTGGATTTTTTGAGAGCCCATTATTTGCAGGCACAATCCAGCTATTCATAGAATAGTCCTCTGAAGGAGGGATTATAATCTTTATTTTACAAATGTGTCTCAGAGAGGTTAAGAAACTTGCCCCCAGTCACAAACCTAAGAAGTGGCACCAGTTTGCTTCAGCCCTCCATTTGCATGCTTCTGAAGTCCCGTCTTTCCACTCCATAATGCTGCCATTCGAAAAAGTGCTGTGTGAAAAGGAGCCAAGTACTGAGACATGCTCACATACAGATGAACCTCAAAATGAAAAGTATGCAAACAGAAAGAAGCCAGTCACTAAATACCATATATTGTATGATTCCATTTGTACGCCATGCTCTGGGAAAGCCAATCTGTAAGAACAGAAGTGGATTAGTAGTTGCCTAGGGCTGGGGGTGGGAACAGGGAGTGACTGCAGAGATCTTTTAGGGGATGCAGATGTTCCCAAATTAAATTATGGTGATGGTATGCAACAGTACATTTACTGAAAATCACTAAATTTTATACTTAAATGCGTGAATTTTAAGGTATGTAAAGTATACCTCAATTGTTTGTTTTTTCTTTTTTTTAAATTATTTTCTTTATTGATTTTAGAGAGAAAGGAAGAGAGAGATAAAAACATCGATGAGAGCCCTGGCCAGTTTGCCTCAGCAGTTTAGCATCGGCCTGTGGACCAGAGAGTCCCAGGTTTGGTTCCCGCTAAGGGCACGTATCTCATTTGCAGTTTGTCCCTGGCCCTGGTTGGGGTTGTGTGAGTGGCAACCAGTCGATGTGTTTCTCTCACATCGATCTTCCTCTCTCTCTCCCTCCTGCTCTATCTGAAGATAAATGCAAAAATGTTATCGGGTGAGGATTAAAAAAAAAAAAAAAGACATGATCACCATCACCACAATTAATATTTGCCTTTCCTTGGCTTTATTCTTTGCTACATATGTAGCTTTTAGTGAAAGGGATATGAGCTATAAGGGATGGGGGAAAAAAATCTTGGCCCTCCATGCATCCATCAAGATGCCAGCCTGATAGTTAGCATCTAAGTACTAGTGCTTGCACTGTATAGGATTACAAGTGAGGGAAAGAGCAAATGAATTCACTCATGTCCTACTAAAGAAGACCACTCCTTTCCTATCCACCACCTGGTTTGGGGCCAGAAGAGAGAGACAGGGTTGAACGAGGACAGCATGAAAAGGAGGATGAGGCAAGATAAATAGAAAGAGGGGAAAACATGCATTCAAATGAAATGAACCTCAAATGGCTCCATCCCTTTTATTTCTGACCAATTGAAAGCCTCAATGACTGGTGGGTGACCACAAAAGAAGAAAACTCAGACCGTCTCTCACTACCTGGCCATGGTGTGAAGGCCATCTTCACACACACAATCGAAACACTGTCTCAAATTGTGTCTAGATCAGCAGAAGTTTGGGTGTAGTCTTTTCTTTCAAAGGCATCTGACATTTTGTGGACTGAGCCAGCAGGTAAATCAGTAGTCTCCTCTACTGGCTTGATTTACCACGGTTATTGTACCTTTGCAACACTGATCCTCTCCTAGGTATTAAAGCTAAGGGGTCTTAAAGGTCACTTGGTAGAGTGGTCCCCACACTTCTTTTAGCAGCAGAATGCCCCCTTCAATCTAAACTTGGAAAGTCAGAATTATAAGGCCAAAGTGGTGTTGCACTGCTCTGTGAGTGTGAGTGTGTGTGTGTGTGTGGGGGGGGGGGGGGGGTTGGTGGCTGTCTCGGCCCTGTCTCCTTGGACTTCCTTCCCAAAATGACTTCTGAGACACTTTTGAAGAATCCCTAGGGCTCCATGGCACAGAGAGAACTAATCTGGCACAATTACCTTGTTTTATATTTGAGGAGTCTGAGATTTAGAGGATTTAAGTGACTTTGGAGGCAACGTGATCAAGTATACATGAAGATTTGGCAGTCAGGAAGACCTGAGCAGAATAATGTCTCCTGTGAACCTGATGAAGTTATACTTAACTCTCTAGATCTCAGTTCGCTCACCTGTAAACCAGGTGCCACGCTCACTCATGTGGTTGAGAGGCTTAGGGAGCCAGGTGTGCGATGCCCAGCCTGCCCATGGCACTGTGCCAGGCCAAGGCCACTCTGAGACTGGAACCCAGTCTCTCACTTCCTGGGCTGCAACCACACCACCTCCTGAGAGTGAGGAGAGAGGAGCACAGCACACAGCTAGGAGCGACCCGGAGGAGCCAACATCTTCCTGCAAACCCCAGGAGTTGGTGCTAGGGTTGCTGGGCTGCTGGTTAGGACTCCTTTTCCCATGGTGTCTACTGCATGGAACTTCCTTCACTGCCTTATGCTGGTGTCGGCCCGTGAAAGTGACGGTGAAGTAAGACAGCGGGAGAGGCAGCATACTGTGTGATGGGAAAGAGCTCTGACCCTGAGCCAGATCAGACCTGAATAAAACCTGACCTTCACTCATCAGAGGTACACCCGTACTGACATGCAAGTTGCTTCACAGGGCGGTTACGGACATAGATTTTGGAGCTAAACTTCCAGTGTTCAAATTTCAGCTGTACCATTTATAAACAGTGTGACCATGGACAAAGATGCTGTTTCTCCTTGCCTTAGTTTTCTAATCAGCAAAATGGGGTTAATAAGTAATGGGACTAAGTGTATGGTATTGTGAAGAATAAGTTAACATCCATCAAGCCCTTAAAAGACAGTAAATGCTATTATTAAGTGTTAGTGTAATTACGAATAAGATTTAAAATTCAAGGGGTCAAGATACATTTACATAAA